AAATCAACTTCAAGAGGTTACAAATGTTAAAGTTAGCAAATTGTCTTGTCGTAGTATAGGGCCGCCATTGCACTGACGGCATCGAATAGCAAGATTAGCTTTTGCCCGAAATCACTTAGACTGCAATGATTATGAATGGAGCCATATCCTGTTTTTCGATGAATCCTGTTTTTGTCTCACTGGGTCCGATGGACGTCGAAGAGTATGGAGGAGACTCGGAGAAAGATATGCCCCAGGTTGTATTGATAATAGACGGTTATGGTTGGTCTTTACACAATGCACGATCCCACACCGCCAGAATTCTCAGTCAATATCTGAATGAGCTGAGAATTAGGCGGTATGAGCGGCCAGTATTCAGTCCTGGCATGAATCCCATCGAACATGCGTGGGATGAGATTGGACGACGTATTCGAAGATATACACCAGCTCTAAGAACTGACAGAGTTGCTGATGCCGGAATGGAACAACATCGAGCAGAACGTAATCCGTAATTTAATTCAAAGCATGGCCCGTCGATTACAAGTAGTATTAAACGCAAGAGGACGCAATACAAGTTATTAATTTTTAGGTTTTCTCAATATTGTTAATTGTCGCTCTTTCCAAATAGTTACAAAAAAAATAATTGGGCTTTGTATATAATAGACATTCTCTGTTTTTCGACATAATCTTGAAAACCAACATAAGATTTTCCGATTAAATGTTAAAATCAGTTAACCAAATAGAGTAGGATAGATAACACAGGACTACAAAATCAAAATTTGTTGGCAGATGTTTTTATTTTAAAAACTGATTTTATATAATTTTTCAAAGAAACTTCCACAGGCTTCTGAATAATTTTACAAAATTTCTTAGCTTGACTGATTTTATGTAATTAAAAAAATATTAATGCGAAAAATAAAACGATAGTTCTAAAATAATTTATTTTTTTATTCTGTAGAAAAAGTGGAATATTGACATAACTCTTTTTCATTTAATTCGCTCTGGTTAAACACTTGGGCTCTCTGAAATCTGGTGTGAAATCTTAGTCATCTGGATGGGAATTAGATTCCTCTGATTTTGACGGATACACAATTTGCTTCTTATTTGTTCTCTTGAATCCTTGAACATTGCACGAACAAAAATAACAATCATCACTGTGATTCCTAGGCTCTCGTCATGCCATAGGAACATCAAAGCTTAAACATTTCTTCCTACCTTTTTGCGCTTTCTTAATGCTTTAACGCAAACGGAACAAATAGTATGAGGAGGACTTGTCTTGGTCACCAATTTTTACACCAAAATAAGCGTGGTATACATTTTTCACAAAAGAAGTTATAGTTTGCCTTTGCTTTATTACTACATAACCACCACTCCTATAACAAAAGTGATTTGGATTGTTCACACAATGTCTTCTTTCCATATTTATACTTTCTAGAACATTAGAAATATGCAACAGCGAAGACAACTGCCTCGAACGCAGTATGACGACGACCAATACAACCAAATTGCTCATAATCAGATTACAACCCTGTATTGACGCTTTTGCGCCAGCTCTGTTGCTTTGCAGAGGAATTTACAACTATTCAGTGTTGCCAAATCACATTTAATTTCATAAAAATCAATTCATTTAAAAATCATGCTTAACAAGGAACAAACATGTTCATGTCATGGGTATGTATATTAATAAAATAACATTTTTGAGATATGGGGCGCTATAAAACAAATGACATAGCAGCAGTATAGAGCAAAAATATGGCGTTTTTTGAAAAAAGGGTCCCCAAAAATAAGTAAATAGTTTTCAAATATCAAAATTACTGTAGACCTGTGTAATTTACCAACTACTAGATCTACGATTCAGTGAAAACATTTTTTTCCAAAAAAATTGTAATTTCTTGAATGACCTAATTTTTTTTGTTCGCCAGTCTATTATCATTGTCATCATTATTATTATTAGGAGGCGTTTTACCAAATTTGTAACCGTTACAATTGCACGAGTTTGTGAAAAGTTATTGGCTTCGTAGAATTTTCGCGCAAATCGCGCTTTTCCGACCGCTGTGCGGTGGCGTGACGATCTCACACATTGCATACTGTTTCCGCGCTGTCTCCGAAATCATTTCGGCGCAACAAAAAGCCTTTCGTACGTGCTAGATATTTAACTGCAATATCGAATACGTCGGTGGTATTTTCGAATTTTTATTTCATCGTACGCGTCTATATACGTAAAAGTCGTGCCCTTTCGGACAAACGCGTTCCCGACGTCCAATAATCCCCGGATATCGCCGGGATTAAATTTTTTGTTTTAAATAGGGCATCTGGCGCGAATACCAAAACGCGTGCGGACTGTCCCGCCGACGTCGGATGTCGTTTCCCGGAACGCGCCCGGACCGAGATCCAGATTTATATTGAACATTCCGGAAAATTCCAATTTTCCTTAATTGAACGTTAGCGGGTGGAAAAAGTGTCCATCCCGTCGGGCCCGTAAATCAGCAGATCGGGTTGGCGAATACAAGGGCGTTTCTCCGAAAGACCTTACGGTCTCGAGAATGAGGGTAAATTAGAAATGGCGTCGCTTCGGCCGTTAATTAAATCCGACTCGGAACTAAATCGGTCCGAACTGTGTAAATACACACCGATTTTTGTTACGTCTCATTAGGAGCGGATGGCAGCGCGATGCTGAAATAATCGGCGCGATGTTGGTACACCTGACATGACGCGACCGATTGGTGCAACTGCGGAGTGATTGCGACGGGGTACCCGAAATAATTTGGGTTTTCGTTTGTCTGGGTAGGATTGATGACGAGCGACGTTAAAATTGATCTCGATGGAATTCGTATATTTCGCAGCTGCCTCCATTTTCGACGATATTGTTGTTTATCTGACGATTTCGCCTAAAATACGTTGTTACTTTGGACAAATCGATAAAATCGAATTTTTCGGAAGTATCTACGCTCGTATAACTGAAGGTCGTACAGGACTAGGGTTGTGCAACCGTTCAAATTTTTTTCAATTTTTCGAAATAATTTGGAAAACACAATGAAATGTATATTTATTTATTTCAAAAATATCTTTTTCCTAAATCAACTTTGCCTTGAAACAGGTTCTACACGCTTCATTTACCAAACTCTAAGACGGCATGACATCCTAGAATGTTTAAAAACAAAACTTTTTGTCGCAGATCTCAACATTGCGGTTGGTTCACACTACACGAATTTTTACTTAAAAGCTTTGCATACTCTGATATACCACTCACCTATTTAAATTGTCAATTGTCGATAGCCATTTAAGGAATTATCGCACAATTAAGATTGAGTAATAACATTTTTGTGAAATTCTTTCTGGAAAGGGTGTGTTTACTTCATTAAACCTGATCAAATCTGCTCCGTATGTAACATTAATCAATTTGAAACAATTTACCACCTTATATTCACTTGCCCGATCTATAATGATCTCCGCACCGTGGAGTTTTCCAATAACAATATCTTTATTACCGCTTTAAAAAATTTGCATTCACGTGGGTCGAAACGTCTTGCTTATCTTATTATAAATATATTATAGACTCGCACCCGCGCGTTTCTAAGGCATGTGTAAAAATAAAACTATAATTTGTATCTGTGTATTTGAAATCACATGGTGATAGATCCCTATTAGTATACTTTTTTTTGGCAATTGGAGGTAAAATCCTTTATGGACGGCCTTCGTAGCAATCGCAAAGGAGTGTGGGACTCCCTGGTAAGTTGTGCAATCCAAGTTTATCCACTAAAGCACCCCCAATATGCAGCATCGGCTGCTAGGGTCCTTACAGTCAATCTCTATTGCATAGACACACATATGTCCCTCGTCTAATCATAGTATTTTCTATATATGCTTATATATGTTGATGTCTTTTAAATATGTCAATATGTGTGCCTTCTTCAAGTTGTCTTCAAAAATCGGTTTTATTTTATGTTGTTCTCTTTGCAAACCGTACATTGCTCACTAACTGCTTATGTGACCGACGGTCAAATTTACCTCACGCATATAACACTTCAGAGGGAATAAGGAGATATTTGTGGATAAGGATTGTATGCTCTGTAGCTGTAGCTGTAAGCTCTCACTGCGTCCAGTCTGGGTAAATCTGTGCGCTCATACTTTGCCGTTACTTCTGGTATTGTTGTTCGAAGCAGGGTACTACATCCAATTCAGATTTTCTGAATTGTTTCCTTCTTGGTAACAAGTTGTTTGCAGTTATCACATCATCATCATCTATCAGTTCCCTTGGTTTATTAACTTAATTTTTTCGAGATACTCTCTATATCTCACTGCCAAAGGACGGGTAATTCTTCTTCGACTGGAGTAGGCATTTATATCTGAGAATAATAATATATATATATATATATATATATATATATATATATATATATATAACTACATTTAGTATTTAAAACAATTTGTTGTCTGTCTGTTTGTAACCCTCTACGAGACACATAAGCCTGTAAAAAATGGGCCCGGCCTGACGCCGGCATCCACCTTATTTTTTCTCGATTTTCGACTGTTTATTGGACATTGTTATAAAACGCCATAAGTGTCCGAAATTCAAATGTGTATGGGCAAATAGCCTTTAGTCGCGTGACGTAACTACCTGAAATTGGAGGATTGGGGGGTCGGGAAGAATTTTTTAAAAACTAAAAATTGCGTTTGCAAGGGTCCAAGAAAAAGATAATTTCTCGAAAACCGTTTATGCAAACGAGAAATTTCAAAAATTTATTGTTCGTAATTTTCAAAAATGTAAAAGAGTATGCGCATAAAACTGAAAATTGAGTTCCTTCTTCTTCAGCTGCCTATCCACTACTATTGGATGTTGGCGATCACATTTCCGTATGCTACCTTGTCCATTGCTGTATGTACAAGGTCCCCGATATTTTTCAAGCCAGTCCATTCCCTTAGGTTTCTAAGCCATGACATTTGTTTCCTTCCTACGCCACGCTTGCCCTCTATCTTACCCTCGACGATTAGCTGGAGAAGCCGATATTTTGGGTTCCTCATTATGTGTCCGAAATAGGCCGTTTAAATTTGAGAAAATAGCTCCGGGCTATTTCTATTCTGGCTTTGATTTCTTTGTCGTTGTCCCAATCGTCATACAGCCAACTACCCAAGTATCTATATTTCTTGACTCGTTCCAAAGCCATTCCATCGACGACGAGTTGCGCATTTACATAAGGCACCCTGTCCCTACTGATTATCATAAACTTTGTTTTATTACTATTTATGTTTATTCCATAGTTTTTACTGGCGTCGTTTAGTAGAGTAATCAGTTGTTGTAAGTCTTGGATATTATCCGCTATCAAGACAGAATCATCCGCGTGCCTAATGTTATTCACATATACTCCATTTACTTTGATTCCGATGTCCTTATCTTCGAATGCTTCGCCAAAAATGGCTTCTGAGTACACGTTAAACAAAAGTGGGGACATGATGCATCCTTGTCTCACTCCTCTACGTATTTCTATATCTTGTGTTTTCAGTTCGTTTGTTTTTATATGTGCAGTTTGATGCCAATATAGATTTTGAATGCAGCGAACATCTTTACCATCTACATCCATTTTTTGTAATATCTCGATTAGTTTTGTATGCTGCACTCTATCAAAGGCCTTTTCGTAATCAACAAAACAAAGAAAGACGTCCTTTTTTACATCGCAACAATTCTGAACCAGTACGCGAATACTGAAAAGAGCCTCCCGTGTCCCCATTCCACTCCTAAACCCAAATTGTGTGTCTTTAATACTGTCCTCACATTTTCTATATAACCTGTGGTGTAAGACTTTAAGAAATATTTAATTTATTAATCGATGTTCTTTGCAGCTTTTTGCATTTCTTTTTTTAGGTAATGGAACGAAGGTAGACCTTAACCAGTCTGTGGGGTACCTGCCAGTGCTGTATATCTTATTGAAAACAACTTCCAATAAAGACAGGTTATCATCGTCTATTTGCTTAATGATCTCGGCTGGCACTTCATCTGGTCCGACTGCCTTGTTATTTTTTGAAAGTTGTATCGCTTTACGAATTTCCTCTTTTGTTATCGGTGGTCCACTCAACGATTCACCCGCAGGGTTAATTTCGAGGTCCGTTCTCTCACTGTCTTGGAATAGTTTTCTTATGTATTGCTCCCACATTCTTCTTCTTTCATCCTTTTCCAGGATTATCTCGTTTTTGTCGTTGACTAGAACTATTGCTGCCTTGGTTTTATATATTCCAGCTACCTCCTTTAGCTTTTTATGTTCGCTATGAGTGTCATGTATCTGTTGGAGTCTCTCTATTTCTTGGCATTCTTGCTCTAGCCACTTTCTTTTAGCTTTTCTGATTTCAGATCTAATTCTAGAATTTAAAAGACTATATTGATCAGGGTTTACATTTTTATGTTTACGTCGTAGAATTTCCTCTGTCATCCATTTGTTCTTAGGAACAGGCTGACGGTATCCTAGTATGTTCTGAGAAACAGAGTTCATGGTTTTCTTCAAGCTATCCCATATATTGTCGACTTGATATTCTCCAATCGTCTCTTGCAGTCTCGCCAGTCCATCATTTAGTTTTTGTTGCAGAGTCGTCCTTACTTCTTCGTTTTTTAGTTTTTCAATAGCTAACTGAGGTTTTCGTTGCTGTCTCTTAACAAGTGAAAGCTTTACTTTATAGGAAGCCAAAAGAAGAACGTGATCGGACGGCACGTCGGCGCCCGGGTATGTACAGACTCGCTTGAGTGATGTGCCAAATCTCTTGTTTATCAGTATAAAATCGATTTGATTTCTAACGATGATATCCTTATTATCCTGAGGTGATCTCCATGTATAAAGTCTTCTAGGGGGTAACGAAAACCAAGTGTTTGTTATTTTAAAGTTCTCTTCCTGGCAAAATTGTACCAGTCGATCTCCCCTATGGTTTCTATCACCCAATCCATATGGACCGACAATTTCGTCTGCTTGTAAAGAACCGATCTTCGCATTGAAATCGCCTTGTATTATATTGATTTCGTGTGGCTTGGTTAACCCTAGAAGTTCCTTTATCTCGCCATAAAATTTGTCCACTTCGTCATCGCCTCTATCGAGAGTTGGGGCGTACACTTGGATTATGTTGATGTTAAGCGGCTTTGTTCGAATTTTTAATAACATTGTTCTGTCTGAGTAGGGAACAAAGTCAGTAACACTTCCAGATATTTCTTTGGTGACTATGACCCCTACACCTCTTCTGTGGTCCCTGTCATTGTTACCTGAGTAGTAAAATCTTTTGTTTTCCATGTTACATTCTCCTGCTCCTGGTCACCAGGTTTCGCTTATTCCTAGGATGGATATCTTCAATTGAGTTCCCCTTATGATTATATTAACCATAAAATAGGAGGCTGTGTTCCAATTGTCAGTTTCTTTTACATGATCATACATTTCGTATGGGCAGCTAAAACTTTTGAATTTAAGATTCCACACATTGTACCGGGTGTTCGGGATATTTTGTCTTATATTCAAAAATGTAATAGGTGTCTCAAATTTTCAGCTATCGACTTCAAATTTAATAGTCCAAAATCACATGTAAACTGTAAAAACTGGCAACATTCAAATCTCGCCAAATATTTCTATTTTTTAATTATTTTTTCGAAAACTACCATTAGCTTGATCGGTAAAGTTATTTAACCAGACCCTGAAAATTGCCGTTTTTTTGGGTAAAATGTTAGCCGTCAATGAAAAATTATAAAAGATGGGATAATTTGATATAAATACAGGATTATACGTAAACTGTGTGGAGAGAACTTATGTACCGTTTTCGTTTATCGTAGAGATCTTTGAAGAAAATAGTATTGGAAATCGCTATTACTGGGTATTTACCAATATTTGCCGTAACTTTGAAACTCGGCGGGACGTAAAAGACATTTTATACAAGGTGCATGCATGCATAATAAAACTACATCGATTTTGTGGAAGTTCCATAGTGGTCCGCAGAAGTACGATAGAGAAACAATCGGCTCTACAAGAACAAGAAGCCGCGAATCACCAAATCGCAATTTTTAAATATAAATTAGGATAAGCTTTAAACTTTAAAAAAGTTTGCAGAACAACATGAATCCTAGTCATTGCTAAATGTCCAAGAAGCTGCAGCTAAGAAACGCGGCAAATTTATTTATCCAGAAAAACAGACCATTAAATTTTTTTGAAAAAAACACCATTAATTACTCTTTCAATTTTATTAAGCATTCTCTATAAACTAAACGCAGTATTTTTTGAGGTATAAACATTTTAGCAACTAATGCTAATTGTAATAAAGATAAATATCGAAATTATAGTTGGATTTCAAAAATACTTTCTCCTCCTTTCAGAAACTCGAAACAAATTTTTGTAATTTCTAGAACCATCTCTTTCACCCAATGGGATACCCGGTATATTCTTATGGGATAATTTAAGTTTCTTTCTGAAACGATCGATAGAACCATATAAGAGACGCTTAGATTCTATGTTTTCTTGTTTATAATTTTTTTTAGTTATTCTGCGTTTAACGTTTCCCTTAACAGCGACATCTGTATATAAAAAGTAGAAAACAGAAATTTTTCGGGTATTTTTTTTTAGGAATCTCTACATTCGCTCTGCTTTAGCAAGTAGCTCCCTATGGATTCCATTTTTCACGTCACTGGGTTTGCATTAACTCGAAGCTGGTTCTATTCTTAGTCGGAGCTTTGTTATTAACTTCCGGGTTGTGAGGACCTTTTCACACCTCGTAAAAATGCTAAAGCCGAAGCGATCATTTATTTAGCGGTTAGTAACGGCCTGTCGGCAGTGAAAATATCAAAGTTCGTACGTTTTTATCTGAATCGCAACGGGAATGCAGATACCACGCTTATGAAAATGTCTCCAACTTTAGGAGGCGCACTTTTAATAAATTAGAAAATTAGCGTCGTACCTCAAGGTTCTCTCAATAAATGAATGATAATTGAGTACCCTCATATTTCTTTTGTATGAGAATAAAACAAACTTATTTTTTGCGAAACGCTATTGAAAAGTTTATATCCAAAATTCTAATTCGTTCATATCATTGAGTGATAGTTAAATTATTTGAAATTTCGAGAAATTTGAAACCGATATTTTTGGAATTTTGGCATTACAGTAATAATAAATGACATACGAAGAGCTTAAAAAATGGATTCAAATCGCATTTTTAACCCAATGGATCAGAACATTTGTCTTATAACTGAGCTTTTAACTGAACCCCACATACCTATACAGAGTGTTTCAAAAACATGCCCAAAAGGTCAGCCGGGGATGGGTGATTACATTAAAAATAGTTGATATAAACGTAGGTCCCTTCGTTGCTTAGGTTTCAAGTCTTTAAAAGTTAATGTTAAATTAGAAAAAAAACGATTTGTGCGAAAATCCCTACTTCGTAGGCTAAATGCTCTGCAATGAAACTGATAGTGGTCATTTGCGTCATTTTCTTTAGTGTTAATTTTTTAGAACTAATTGTATTTGTGTATGGTGTTCATCCGTTCGTTGTTTGACCCTATATATATATATATATATATATATATATATATATATATATATATATATATATATATATATATATATATATATAATATATAAATTGGTTACGATCCAACTAAATGTTACCGCTTTAGACGACAATCTAAAACAACTGAAAACATTTATTTAATAATCACATATTGGCATTTTTTAAATTGTAGTTTGTTATTTAAATTTGATTTAATTAATGCAAACAAAGCTCCAATGACACATGTTATAATTTGGAGTGTGGAAATTATAACTAGTCAAAATTAGATTACTTCTTTCGTGTCCCACTCACTGTATTAGTAAACAATATCACTCTTAGTGAAATTTATCAAATTTGAATATAACTTAAGGAACAGCAGTTTTGACATTCGATGCTGTAACTCACTTATTTTTTTGCAATGTTTTTGAGACTTTGCTATTTGTGCTTTAAATTCTTAAATAAATGGCTTTATCTAAAACGCTACAATAGTATTACCCTGTTTAGTTACAATTATCCTCAGAGGTAAGAAACTCCAGCATTAGCTAAAATCATTGAAATATCCAACATTATATCATAATTCGCTCAAAACACAGTTTTGAAAACCTATTCTATCGCCACAACTGGTTCCTATTTATCCCATTTATATATAGAAATGGGCTTTGCGAATAATTTGTTGAGTCTCCTTTTATAACGACATTGGTGGTGTCTGAGAAATACGTTCGTCTGCCGAATAAAAGGCTAGGCAGGCGGGCGTCTGTTTTTGTTTTCTCGGCGTCTACTTTTTGCCCATGAAAGAATTTTTTGCGTGTCTGTCCTGTAATGTTATTATATTATAATTTTGAAAAATTTGGGCAAAGGAGAAAAAATCGACAGGTCTATCAACTATTTATTCGCGGTAAAGTCATGCCAATAAATCGCAGTAATTATCTGTTTTAAACCTTTTACAGAAACCCAAATTTACAAACTTGAGTTTTTATATTTATTTTTTAGTAGTACAAGATGCCTTGTGAGTGGATTAATATTTTATTTGTTTTCTCTGATGCGCTGTTTTCAGCCCAATATCTAACTGCCACGCTCAGTCCATTGAGTATGCAGGGAAGGTTACTGAAGTATCTAATGTTCAGGGAGGAGGGTTCCTGTCCTGAGACGAAATTTTATAGTGATCTTGTACTGAGAAGATTCGCTATACTGCTTCTGAGGTTACGCAGAGGCTTTCAATCTGTATCATTTCTCTGCAAGTTACTTTATTACGGAATGTGTGTTAACCCCAACAAATTGTTATTTTACTTTATCCCACTTATATTATGATGGTCTCCGTACTGAAAACCTTATCCTTTTCTTTTTTCACAACAAACGTCAGAATTCAAGGCGTGGGAAATATCTCCGAAAACATCCGATTGCCGATGTCTGAAGAGGCTCAGATCCGTGGGAAACGAAACTGACGTGGTAAAGCGACGCTTCCCGCACGCTAGATTGGTGTGTAATTAGGCATTTTACAGACAGGAGTAGAAAAAATTATTTGAGGAGTAGAAACTAAACTAAATTACAAAAATGAACAAATGATGGCGCTGTCATATTTTCATTTATTAACCATGTCTTAGACATTAAAAACCTGTGTAAATGCATCAAGACTTTTAAAGAGTGTTAATTTCTTTGGGTCTAGATAAACTAGTAGAGTTTGCGGTACTGGCTACGATATAAACGTATTTTGTTTGTTCAGTGTAGATAACATACCTAAATAACCAAATCCTTTTGCACGTGCCTTTCGATTGTAAGCCTACTGCAAATTGCATCAGTTTGTATAGTACACTCGAAAGCATACTTCTTCTAAATTCTGCAAGAAATATTCAACAATTAATTTTGATTTAAACTAAATATTTATCTTCTTTCTTGATTGTAGGCTAACTTTATTTTATAATTAAAATGATATAATAGCGGAGACCGTTCGGCGCCTAGGTTTAATGTCGATTTATCATACGAGGTCTGTCAATTAGATTCCCGGAAAAGTGGCAACACTGCGACTCTCGTTATGCTACGGCGTTCGCGTTGTGTCATTCGAAAGAGGATTCATTTCTGCGTCAGTCTGTGCAAGTTTCGTCTCGATCGGTTGTTCAGTTCGTGTGTTACAGTACTTTGATCATCGGCGTGTTTGGATCCCTTGTCGCGAAAATGTGTGCTAAAAAAACTGAACAAAGAGTAGTGATCAAATTTTTGGTCAAACGTGGTGTAAGTTCCGCGGAAATTATGAAACAGTTAACCGACGTGTACAAGGATGATTGCCTGAAAAAAACAGCTGTCTACGAGTGGGCTAAGCGAGAGGGAGCTCCCTCCACCTCTCGAACGGCACAAAACGTCGGTCGCCTGCGCGTGCGTGTGCTCGGAGACCGTCGGGTAAGCCTCAGAATGTTGGAAGACGAGTTGGGTATCAACAAGGAAACCATTCGACAGATGCTACACGAGGATTTAGGGATGCGCAAGTTGTGCGCGAAAATGGTTCCCAAAGTGCTCACAGTTGAGCAGAAAGAGCTTCGTTTATCCATCTGTGAAGACATGATTTCTCGAATTGAGGAGGAAGGAGAAGACTGGATGTCAAATGTTATTACCAGAGACGAGTCTTGGGTGTTCCAGTATGACCCTGAGACCAAACGACAGAGCATGCAGTGGGTGGAAAAGGGGGGGAAGCGTCCCACAAAAGCCAGAATGTCGAAATCAAAAGTGAAATCTTTGCTCATCGCATTCGGCATTCCAACGCTTCCGCACCCCCCCTACAGCCCGGACCTGGCCCCCTGCGACTTTCATCTCTTTCCACAATTGAAGTCCTACCTCAAGGGCAACCGATACGATGGCGTCGAGGAGGTGCAACGTGTCACGACACGGGTGCTGAGGGACCTATCTTCAGGGGGCTTCAGGGGGTGCTTCCAATGGTGGATCCAACGGTGGCGCCGGTGCATCGAGCTAGAGGGAGACTACTGCGAAGGATTATAACTTAATTTTAAGAATTTATGTATATTCCGGACCGTCCGGGCACTTTTCCGGGAATATAATTGACAGACCTCGTATCTTGTCTTGAAGATTTTGTCTTACGCCTTTGACTGCTAGTCAGGTTTCGTCTCCTTTTTATAATACTCACATGGAAGTTAATAATTATAAAACCCTATCTAAAAATTTATTTTATATTACATTTAGTCCATTGGGGTCCTTTTTCAAAAAATGTTTAGTTAAGTTCTTGTAAATATCATTTTCTTATTGAATCCCATTGGACGGGATATCACATCACGGCCTTTTAAGTGAATAAGGAACCAATAATAACGATGAGATACGCAGATCTGTGAAGTGAGAAAACAACAAGGTCTTAAAATCAATACCATAAACACCAAACTCATGATACTGAGCCGAGAACCTCATCGATATCCACCCTAGAACGCAAGGTAAAAGAGATTGAACGAGTAGCCAAGCTCAAGTACCTTGGTGGTATCATCACAGAAAATCTTACCGAGGGTCACCTTCAATAATATGAGATACTTGTTTTGCATTGATGATCTAAATCTGAAATCCGGACTATGACCCGGCTGGAGGCAATTGGACATGTGACTTCATGGAAGAATGTTTCGTATTCCATGCACACAGCATATCACAAACGATAATGTCCGGCAAAGAGAAAACTCCGAATGCATCGTACCTAACGGGTGACAAGTATCGTCTCCGTTAGTTGTTACTGAAGGGCAAGATTGAGGGTAATGCAGGTAAGATTTTGCTTGGCAGAAGGTCGCGCTGCCTTTGTCATGGTGATCGCCAACACAGGCCCACAAAGATTTTGTGATTTGGTATTGTGCATATTTTTCGAGTTATAGGGACTAAACTAATTGAAAAACAATATTATTTTTGTTTCACGCAACATTTTTTTAATTAATTTTTGGGATGTCATATTTATTGTTTTAAAAATAGGAACATTACATAACGTTCTAAAAATTGAAATTGTCACGCCACCCGCATACATTTTGCATAAGTTAACAGAACATTAGCGAGGAATCCCAGAAAGTAAAATATAGTTGCTATGATTTCCAAATGTTTAATTAAAACATTGCCACAGTTATTTTCACAACCAGAACCTAATCAATTAGTGAGTGACTTAGGTTTGCCTGCGGATTTTTCCGAAATTTTAGCATCTAGATTTCGAAACAAAAACTTACTGGCACAAGACTTTAAAATTTCATATTTCAGGAAGCGCGAGAAAGAATTTATTAGCTATTTTGAACAAGGTGGTTCACTTGTTTATTGCAACGTTATTCCGAATTTAATAAAGAAACTAGGTACTGACTACAGTACTCAGGACTGGCGAAAAAGAACTGTCCAAAAAGGGTTCTTCACGATAGTGTTATTGAAACATGAAAAATTCTCCTACTTTCGTTGCAAATTAAATTATGACTGATGAAGCAGTACCATAAAGATTTAAATAATGATGGAGAGTATTTTAAAGTCCTATGCGGAAAATTTCCCTCTCTCTCAGATGCAAAATTAATTAAAGGAAGGAATTTTGGTAGGTCCTTTAACCAAGCGTTTAAGGGAAGATCAAGACTCTGTGAATACTATGATCGAATCTGAAAAGGTTGCATGGGTTTCGTTTACCGATGTTATACAGGGTTTTCTAGGAAACAACAAATATCCACTTTTCCGAAAATCTTTTTGCTGTGAGTAAAGAGCAAGGCGTCGGTTCTACCAAGATATAAAAGAAGTGGAACGCATATATCTAGGTCGATGGAACGTTGCAATGATGGCAGATTACTGCCGGTCATTAAAAAGGGACAATCCGGCCAAAAAATAAATGGACTTAAGTATTCTTTGGGAATTTCATATTTAACTTAGATCTTTCAATTGGGTTTTCGTTTTTGTACTAATAAAAATAATGTTATTTATTAATTAATTTATTAATTCTTTTAATGTTGATAAAAAAAACCTTACGTGATAGAGGAAAATGCTTATCAGATTTAAATTTAGTAGGCCCAAATATCAGATCGAAATAAACTTTTATTAGTTTAAAAATTGTTAGACTGTGTAATAATAAATAACTTCTATCTTATTTTTGAATTCAGAAGTAAAGAATTCATTTTGACTTCAGTCAACGTTATCCAAATCCAAGGAATTAGTTCACTTTTAGACAAACAAAAGCCATTAAATGAAATTATGTTCGATCAAAACCTTGAATTTTTTTTGTTTTCCAGGTGATCCGCTATCGTCATTAACAAGTATGCATTTATTTCTGGTAAAATTGTCTGGTTGTCAGGCGTGATATCACCGCAGTTTTTTTCGCTTTTCTCAATTTACATCTTCCTAAAGTAAAGAATCTCACACAATTTAAACAACTTAGCTCAGTTAGTATCTTTCCTATTCTCGCTAAAGTTTTAGAATAAATAATTGATAGGCAAATAAGAAAATTTTTAGCTCTTTTTGATATATTACCTTGAAAACAATCTGGGTTTGGAGAAGATTATAACGAGAGTGATGTGATCGATATTACTAATTTTGTTAGACTTTAGCAAAGCTTATTCAATTTTTATATTTATTTCAATTCTAAGCTACATTGGAGTGTTTCTGAATTCGCTTTTATTCGATAGAGTTCAACAGGTGTTCTGCGACAATGTGTGTTCCGAACCACTTTAATTTAGGAGTACCACAGGGTCGCATCTTGGGTCCTTTGTTGTATACAATCTATACGTTCGTAAGAGCTTTAAAATATTGTAATTTTTTCTTTTCAAGGTCCTGAAATTTCGCAATCAACATATTTAATTTTGTTTATTTAGTCCTTTTTTTGTTCTAACGGTAATTTGTTATACGAGCGTCACCTCAAAAGTTTCTGGCGTACCCCTGAAGATGGCGGCGCTAGTTACTAAATGCTAGTGATCGTAGTGCACGTCTTGATAGTTACTTACCAAAGTTTCAGCCATTTTGAACGCGTGGTTGTTAGTTAAGAGCCGTTTGAGTGAGTCGATGTGAGTGTTTTCGTGAAAATGGAAAAAATTGAGTATAGAGCTGTTATGAAATATTTACCTTTGAAAAGCTATATACCTACGCGAATTAAAGTTGTGTTGAACCTTGTATATGGGGACTCACTCACCGTTATTTAGCACAGTTAAATTTTGGGCAGATGAATTTAAACGTGGCCGTCAGGGCTTACGAGACGATGAACGTTGCGGACGTGCAAAAACTACAACTAGTAGCTACGATAATATTGCTAAAGTTCATCGAAATGGTGTTAAACGACCGTCGAAGTAAAGTGACAGGGATAGCAGAGGTTATGAAAATGTCCGAAGAACAAGATTTAGGAATGAGAACGCTGGCCGCGCGTTGGGTGCCGCCGCGTTTGCTCACCTTAGACCAAAATCTTTCAGTTTAGGCCTAATAAATCCGAGTTCTGACGCCGATTAATTAATGTAGATGAAACTTGGTTACACCATTATACGCCAGAATCAAACATACAGTCAAAACAGTGGACTGCGAAGGGGGAACCGGCTCCGAAAAAAGCAAAAACCGTTCTTTCGGCTGGGAAAGTGATGGCGACGAATTACAGTTTGAACTGCTCACCAGATCGAGCCCCAAGTGATTTCTTTCTGTTCCCTCATCTGAAAACTGCGCTTCAAGGACAAACATGATCTTTAAATGAGGAGGCAATCACTTTCGTGGACATTTACTTTGCGAAAAACTAAAACTAAAACAAAATTAAAAAAAAGGAAAAAATGTCGGAAACTTTTCATTCATTAAATTGCAATTGGCTTGGCTCCTGCGTTCTATTTTGTTTTTTTTTTATTTTGTTTTGTTTTGTTTTGTCTTAAAATTGGTACCATCTAATGTTTTATAGTGTAATAATATGTATATAACCAAAACTAACCAAAACATAGTCCAACGTCTTTTGAAAGTCTGCTCGTTATTTAAGGCACCGGGACACGTGGGTTTCGGATACGTTTTATATACATTTTGCGGGACTAATTAAACTTCCAAAGAAAATTTACACCGGTTTATCCGACTGGAGTTTCTTTGGTGGCACAAGGTTTGGGGTGGAAATTAATGGTCGACCACGATTGATGTAAAATTAATTACTCGCGTCGGCCCCGACGTGATAAATCGTATTCCAGACACCTGAGTCGCCCGAAAGGGATCGCCGCCTTAGCGGAGACCGAGGAACACAACATGGACGCCGTCCGCCGCCGTCTCTCGCAAAAAGTTAATTAACCATTTGTAACAATTACTGTTTCGGCGCTAGTGTAAAAGTTAGGGTTGTTGTTTTTCATTTGGTTCTGTAGATTACGAAATTCGCGATGTCGATCTGATGCACTTGTGGCCGTTAAACTCGGCCCATTGTACAGGGTGGCTCAAATTCGACGCTCATCATTGGGGTTTCGGAAACCGTGAGAGATACAAGGACGGTTAAATGGAGGCAAAATTGCGTCATTTGATGGTCAATAAAAAGCCGTTTTGTATTTTGAAAATTTCTGAATACTTCCAAAAATATTCGAAAAAACCTGGAATTTTCAATTTAGGTTTTCATTATCTCCTGACATTAATTATCAAGATAATTTGAAAAACACATTTTCATACTCACTTTTTCTGCTCTATAACTCAGTATGATTAAATATTCACCATCAACTTAATTTTCTTTAATATGAACCTGATATCCTGCACTACATTTTTAAAAACGAGAAGGTAAAAAAAGAAATAAACATGTTCATGATGTTTTTATTGCAACTCACTGCTATCTAACAGCGGAAAATACTTTATTAACAGAAAGTTTCATGAAATTAAACCCAAGATACAAAAAAAGTATACAACAAATCAGTTTACATAAACAATTTGTGCTATACAATCTTGATACTCATATTTAGAGTAAACATAATTTAATAACTATAAGTGTTCAAAGAGATAACTTTCTTCTTTGATTTTTATGTGGATCCCGTATAACCATGTATTTCATCATAAATGGTTTTGTGAGATAA